AAAGAGAGAATTCTTAGTCAGGAATCTGCCATCCTCTATCATAAAAACAACTTCAAAGAGGCCATTTGACCAACACAAGGATTGACCAAAATTAATGATAAAAAAACAAAACAAATGAAAACTAGAGACAAAGTTGACTTTCTTCAGAAACAGTCATTCACTCCTTTAATTCACTGCTACTAACAAGTAGGGATTTTTTTTCTCCTGATGATGGCCATGCTGGCCGAAACTAGTCAAGGAAACTAATTGAAATAAAACAAAAAAAATATGAATATACAACCCAGTGTGTCTGAAAATTTTAATTTTTAAAAAAATTTTTATTGTTCAAAACACACACACACATTCTAATAATTCTTACATACTATCACCTGATGAGATGTGATGATATGCATTGAAACATTTATGTAGCAGTTTTTGCATATATTCTAATGTAATATCCTGTAAAAAAAGTGTGTATATATATATATATATATATATATATATATATATATATATATATATATATATATATATATATATATATATATATATATAATAATGTGTGTGTGTTATGAGATAATGTTCATATCAATATATTGTTTATGTAACTATTTTTTAAAATTCTTTTAAACTATCAACAGCCTAATTCTTTGAGTACTTTTGTTTTAAGTTGCTCAACAATTTCATAAAGATAAAATCAGTTTAGCTGAAAACTAAATAAAAGAAAATAAAGAAGAAATCACTTTGAATAAAATCTGGAGAAAGAAAGAAATATGAAGTTATCAAAGCATTTTCAAGTGTGAAAAACTGGAGTGAGCCATATTACAAAGAAATTCAAAGAGAACAATATATTATAGAACAAGACTGACAGATGTTGGAAGTGAAAGATTTCAAAGACTAGAATGATTCCTCATGCTATCCTCTACCTTTATAAGAACCAGATCAGGCCAAAAAAATGGAGTACAGTTGGCATATTTTAGGTGGGGGCTGCCCAGACCTCACTTTCCAGTCTTGATTTCAAAAGCATCTCTGAGTCTTTGTTGGAGAAGTATTATTTTCCATGCTTCAACCTCTCTCTCTCACAGGCAAGATGTGGTGAGTCTCTCACTGCTCTATCACTACTACCATGAAAAGTGCTCGGACAAACTGCATCTCCTGGTTCCACCGGGTCTGACCTTGCCGCCATGCCACTCACATTGTAGCAAACCACCCTTGTTCCCTTCGTATTACATTGGCAAGAAGTAAGTTCCACTCAAACAGCTTCTTCCCATGAACCACTGCTCTATGGAACAGACTCCCAAGGGGATGTTTCCATGATCACTACAATCTTAACCTGTTCAAGACGAGAGTCAACTGTTATCTTTCCTTCCTATTTATATCAACTACCCCTTGACGTAATCCTCTATCTAGGGTGGATGTCCTTGGTAAGACTATAAACTACATTCAACAGCAAAGCCTCTTATCAGAAGGTTTTGAGGAGTGTGGAAGCACCTCTTAATTGCTGATGTTCCCAGGTTCACCCTGACCCAGGGTGATAACACCTGTTAGGGTCCCAGCTATAGGCAAACTGGGGTCAAAACTCTATGAAAGTGTAAAAATAGATTTTAGTACCAGAAATACTTTGTAAAAAATATTACCAGAAATACATTTTTGAGGAAAAATATCAGAAATACATCTTTTGAAGAAAAAATATTACCAGAAGTACATTTTTGAAAAAAAAAAAAAAATTACCAGCAATAAAAATTTTGTCAGCATTAAATTACTCATTGAGGTTGATATGCTGTAAAACTAAATAAGCCAAACCAAACTGATTTCTTACAAAGAATACATATTCTGTTCATACAAACCTGTCCTAAAAATCTTGTCGGCATTAAATAACCCATTGAGGTGTTGATATGCTATAAACCAAACAACCTTGAATGGCCTTCAAGCCTTGTGCAGGAAAAAAAAAAGTGTGAAGACATTAGTGAATGTCTTAGTTAAGTTTGGAATTGAAGTCTCAAAGAAGGTAGTTGTTAGAAAAATGAACTTTGAGGTCACAGACCAAGTAAAAAACACCACCAAAGCCAAACTGAAGTCGACTAGGAACAACCTTGAGAAAGATTTTGCATACTGAAAAAATTTATTTGGTCAGATGAGATGAAACTGCAGTTCATGGTCACAAACATATTGTCTATGTTTAGAGAAAGAAAGTTGAATAACCCAAAGAATGCTGTCTCCATAGTCTAATAAGGAGTATGTGTGGAGGCTTCAGTGTTTCCAGAATTGAGAATCTTGTATAGTTGGAAGGAATCCTGAAGAAAAGATTGAGATTTTCAAAGAAAGCCTAAAACAGCCAGTAATAGTGAAATTTGTTGGGTTGTCATTTTGCCTTTCAACATGACAACCACACTAAGTATGCATTGCTTCTGGTGATGAACTAACCTCAGAAGGCCAAAATAATGCTACTGACTGGAAAGACCAAAGCTGTGATTTAAATCCAGAAATACTACAAAAATAAAAATAAAAAAACCTGCAAACAATTAAAAAAGACTTGATGAAAAGGATTATTGATGACCCCCCAAGAAAAAGCATTATTGATGATCCTGTAGAAGAGGATATACAAAGTTATCAAAGCATTTCCAAATGTCAAAAACTGGAATAAGAAGTAAAGGGTGTTCCAATAATTTGGACTGATTTTAATGTGAATTAAGTTTAAGCGTCTAATGATTTTTTTCTTTTTCTTTCAGATTTTCTGACATTTAGGTGATATTATTTTTCACACATAATTGCCATGACTTAAATAACATGATCCAATAGAGAAATAAATAAATTTTCACCAATAACACTGATTTATTTTTATTGCTGACTTTGATCCGTCTTAATGAAACACCATTATATATAATCCCTCTTAATGAAACACCCTTTATTATCAAGAAGTTCAAAGAGAACAATGTATTACAGAACAAGACTGTCAGAGGTTTAGAAGTGAAAGATTTCAAAGATTCTTAGAATGATAACTAGCAAGAAACACATTTAGAGACACTAGAACGACAACTGCCAAGACATTAGTGAATGACTTCACTAAGTTTGGAATTGAAATCTCAAAGAAGACAGCTTTTCTTTCTGTTTTAATCATTTTGTCCCAAGCAAGGCAATATGCCACTAAGATGCAAGGAGTTACTGGAAGTGGAAGAAAATGAGAAAACATTAGTGAAGAGAAAGGACAGTAAAAGAATAGGTTTCAGGAAGACAGAAGATTGTGATTGATGTTGCATTTAAATTTGCGAAGATTGTAGGCGGCAGGGAATCAAGAAACCAAGAGATTTCCACAAGTGAGAAGTGTAAGAGACTATTTGAATAGAACTTAGAATTGCATCTAGCTATTTCAACAGTAAAATAGTGAGACCTAATTGTCAATCTAGTACTGCATTTGAATTCATGTGGTCAAGGTACCAAAAAAGAAAGATCATTAGAAAGATTTTCATGAAAATGTTTATAGAGAAGCCATATCACGCCAACAGGAAAGCAACTGAAGCCAAGATGCCAGGTCAGGACCAATAACGTTGCAAATTCTTCTTTGGATTTTGTCAAAAATCTCAAAATATATAACAGGAGCACCAAACCAGATGTGGCAGCAATATTCAATGCATGGATGAATGGTAGATTTATAAATATGCAAGATGGACTTTGGCAAGGATAATTGTCTGGCATGACATGGTGAACCAACTTATCTAGCAGTGGGCCTAGTAATTAATTCAAGATAATCACTTCACTTCATGTTGGTGGAAAATGTGAGACTGAGGAGGCTCAATTAGTTGCTCTCCCAGAGGTTACTATCAGCTATGCTGAAGAGGGAAAAATGGTTCTTTTTAGATGACTAAAATATAGCAGTATCATTGGGGAGGCATTAAAATCTCAAAGCCATTCCTTGCCCCAGTTAACAACTGATTGAATGTCATTTTTGAGATCAGCCGCCAGTTTTACTTTATCGGATCGGTTACTAGTGTAAACATGAAACTGGGACCTCAATCAACTTTTCTCCAATTGGAAACATACAAGATCCTCATTGCATCTTGATTCTCATTCATGTTGGTGTGCAGCAAAATCTGCAAAGAGTCTGTTGCAAGTTCATAAGGGAACGAAAGGTGAAAATAAATGCCATGGCAAGAAATGAAGACTTAAATACTGTTTCCAATATATTTAGATGTTTATTTCAATGATTCCTTTGCATGATTTGGGTGGGTAACTTGGGACAACTTCTGTCAATTCTGATATCTCTTGTTGCCTGAAATCTGATTTTCTCCATCCAAATCTGAATCCATCTCAACATGATGACATGCAGCTGGCAACTCTAATGGGTGGCATGTTATTTGGTTAGACGAGATGGAACTAGAGTTCGTTTTTTTGATTTGTGAATAAGTTTGACTATCGTATTTTTGAGTTTTGTGAATTTTCTTGCAAGCATAGATTTTGTTGTAGCATACCTACGGACAATAATAGGTATGTTCTCATTCACATAAATACAGTAGTAAATACTGTATGTTGGTCTGCAGTTAGAGATTTGTCTCCAGCTGTACTGGTCAAGCTCTCTGACTTTGGGCAGAGAGGATCGATGAATCTATGTCGAAGGGCAGAGTCTCGTCTTGGGAAACAGCTATCTGACCCCATTTTATATGGAGTCTATGGGGAATTTTTGGTTGAACCTACTGGCTCGGATACCCCACATTAAATTTGTTAATAATAATAGGGCGGTTGGTAGATATCCTGCAGTTGGAGATTCATTGTGGAATTCACTTCACTCACTTCTAGCAGTTGACTACTTCTATGCGCCGCTGGAGAATCTTATATGTGTTGTTCTTGTTCTAAGTATTATTGTTCTTTACCAACCTTTGTGTGATTATTCTATTCCGTAACCTTCCCTAAATTACAACAGATTTTAGATTTTTTTTTTTTTTTTTTTTTTTTTTTTTTTTTTTTTGAGCTTATTGCAGTTATATGATATACTATATTGATTTTTCTCATTTTGCTTTTTATTGCAGACCTTTGACTAATTTAAATCGGAATCTACAAAAAACTGATCTTCCTAAACCACCAAAAAGGCCAGTCAGTTCCTTTTTCGAGTTCATGTTGAACAATCGACAAGATATTATAACAAATAATCCAGGTAAGTTTTATGTGCAAAAACAGACAAAAAAAAATTAACTGCAGTTACTACCATGGCCTCTTGATTTGCATTTAAATACTACTATTTATCTGGTAAACTCAATATGGTGGCAACACAATAACTAGAAGTTCTATTCTAATTTAAGGTTCTTTTATCACAAATTTCAGATGGGGAAAATCATTATAAAAAAAAAAAAATCTTTCAACAAAATCTAGAATTTTTGATATTTTATAGGCTTACAGCCATATCACATTGAAACACAGGTGGTTGTACGATCACTGAAATTAAGCAATGTCAAGCCTGATCAATTCCTAGATGAGTGACCACTTGGGGATACCAGGTGCTGTATACTTGAATGTGCAGTTGGTGTAATAGATAACTGCTCGAAATTGGAAAACTGGGAACCAAGTTCCAATTCCAGTCAGGTTCATTATATTCACTTACGCACATTAATGCAATTGGGAAAGGTCTTAATCCACCTCTTCTCACCCCTGCTATGTGTTAATTCGTAGGATTTGTATCATCAAAAAATTCTTACAATCTAAAAAAATATTTTCTGGCTTTAAATAACCTGCAAAGAGTTGATAAGCCATAAAAAAACAAATCAGTCTTACTAAATTGGTGCTGAAACAATGTGAGATTCAAAAGAACTTAAAACAAATGAATATATACTGTATATTTTCACATATAAGGCAACCTTTAGATAAGAGGTCAAAATGAAATATGAATTTGTCCTATACCTGTAATATAAGATGACTGCTTATTGATTATATAAAGATGATGTTATTGGAAATGTCGTTACTTGCTGTATCCTTAGAAATTCAAAATAAATGAAATAACAAAACTAATTCTATATCATGTTTTCCCTACACATGTCCCCTAAAAGGGAAATCATTGTTTTGTTTACGTTTGATCACATGATCTCTTGTGAATACTGATTCTTCTTTCTCTTCTTTTTCTATATCTAAACAGTTACAAACAGCCTGGTGTACTAATGGCCATTTACTTATACTTCGACAATCACAAAATACCACTAATAACAATACATGTCGAGCCATGGCTAGTAAGTTAATCTCACAGACCATTGCTAAAATACTCACTGGAAACAGGGCAAGCAATAACTGAGTAATTATTAAAAAAAAGAGGAACAAGGCAGGATATCTTTAGACATGGGCAGTTGTATTGGAACAATCTACCCTCTTAGATTAAACGAAAGATCTCAATTTGAAGTTCCTTGAAGTTTATCCACTTTGACAGATACCTAAGGAATGCAAGACGGGACAATGGTACAAAAATTGTATTAATAACAACAAAAATGAAATTATTAGTAGAAACAGGAATTAGTACAAAGTAACTTTTAAAAATGAATAGTAAAAACCATTAATCTAACATAAAATAACTACCACATATTTCTACATATAAGGTGACCTTTAGATAAGATGAGATCAAAAAATATAGCAAATTTTCATGAATTTATCCTATACCTGTAGTATAAGATGACTGCTTATTGATTATATAAAGATGATGTTATTGGAAATGTTGTTACTTATTGTATCCTTAGAAATTCAAAATAAATAAAATAACAAAACTGATTCTATCAATATATCCTGTTTTTCGTACACACGTCTCCTAAAAGGGAAGCCATTGTTTTGTTTACATTTCATTACATGATCTCTTGTGAATACTGATTCTTCTTCTCATACCTCTTCCAAATTGTGTTTATTATTTAACACCAAAATGATAATGAATTTTTAATGAGAAATAAATATTATTTTATCGTAAACTAGCAGTAGAGCCCGGCGTTGCCCGGGGATATAACAGTAAGAGATAGATCAAGTATTGATCATCATAAAGACTGAAAAATAAAATTAGTAATATTTGTATCACCAAAACCATTATTATCTCAAAAAAAAAAGAATTAATACAAAGTATTTAGATTTTGGCATCAAATAACCCATAGAGGCCAATATTGTTAAGTTGTTAAATAGATCACATGTATATTTTTTACCCAACACAATCATTGAACTGATAGCCTTCAGCTGATGTAAGTTTGTGCTTTAATAAGTTTACCTGTTCCACCTACAGTTGAAATGGTTTCTGCCCATGGAGTTTGATATAAACTTAATGGTTTTTCCACCGGGGAAATAAAATCTATTTGCCTGGTGAAGTTATATCAGATTAGCATTTCTCAACTTTTTGAAGTAACAGCACACCTAGGAGCACATGAAAATATCAAAATTTTTAAAAGGTATTTAAAAAAAATTGATTATTAAAACAAAGTATTTGAAATAATCAAAGAATAGTGAAAAGAATTATTTGAAAAAAAAAGCTTAATACTTGTTCATTTATTCAAATACTAACTATTGTAGAATATCTACGGACAATAATGGGTATGCCCCCATTCCCATAAATACAGTAGTGAATACTGTATGTGTTGGTCCTCTGTCTGCAGTTAGAGATTCATTGTAGAATTCACTTGACTTCTAGCAGTTGACTACTACTTCTACACGCAGCTGGCGAATCTTATATGTGTTGTTCTTGTTCTAAGTATTATCATTCATTACAAACCTTCGTGTGATTATTCTATTTAATAACCTTCCCTAGGTTACAACACTAACACTGTACCATTACTATTTACTCATACATGTATGTTGTGACTATTTCACAGCACACTTAAGAGGATTGCATGACACACTAGTGTGTCATGGCACAGCATTTGAGAATCGCTGAATTAGGTCAACATTGGTAGCAGAAGTGTGGTTTAGGAGCAACAAAAAATGACCTCAGTAAATTATAAAAATCCACCGACTTTTGATGATGAGAAATCCTAGAATGATTGAAAAACAGAGAAATCAAAATGTGGCAATTAGCGACTGACGTAGACAAAAACGAAAAGGGCATTGGTATTAGTGCTCTCACTTTATGGAAAACCTTGAGATGTGGCCATGAAAATGGACCCTGAAAATTTGAATAATGGTGTTGATTATTTATTGGAAGAACTGTACAACGTACTGGAAAAGAACGAAATAGATCACTCTGATGCTGTATATATGGATTTTGGGGCACCTCGAGGTGGTGTAATGGTTAGCTTGTCTGGCTAAAACAATTATGACTGAGTACTGAGTTCGATCCTCACTGAGTGTCCCCTACTTTCGGGCTTGTGCCACATCTAAGCTACACTAGAAAATCATTTTGGGGCACCTCAAGATGGTGTAATGATTAGAAAGCTTGTCCCACTAGAGCTATTATGACTGAGTAGTGAGTTCAATCCTCACTGGGCGCCCCCTATTTCGGCCTTGTGCCACATCTAAGCTACACTTGGAAAATCACTATATAGATTTTGATAAGTTCCACAGAGACCGAAACATGAATATGGCTATGTGATTTTTATTTGAGCAAAAATACAAGAAGTGTAAAAAGTACGAGATGGTACTTCCTGAGGCTGTATTAGCCTTCAAGTTCCCCTGATAATGTTGGAATTACCCAAAGTGATCATCAGTTGACTTTAACTGTGTGCCATGACTTAAAATTCAAGACTATGTAGCAGCTTTAAATCAAATTTTTGGGACCAAAGAATCTACTGTAAAAGATGACATGTCATTCAGTATTAAAGACAAATCTGCCTTTATGACTAACAGTTGTGCTTATTACCACCAGTACCAAAGAAGATATTTTCCTCAAGTTTGTATTGATAAATTCAACAGTTGTACTGTTAACAGATCTTTAGGAAAACTGTGTCCATCTTTTAATGGATTTATATCAGGGTGCAGATTTAATGGATGTATATCAGGGTGTGAATTTAATGGATGTATATCAGGGTGCGAATTTAATGGATGTATATCAGGGTTTGAATTTAATGGATGTATATCAAGGTACAGATTTAATGATTCCAAATACCATTGGATTAAAGATTGTCCAAACAAACTTCAAATGGGTCACATGACAGAAGACCAGTCTGATTATCTCAAAAACAGAAACAATTCAAGTCTTGTCTCCTCAGTCTGTGTTTGTGATAGAGCCACATAATGCAGCTGTCATCAAGACTGTATGTTCTAAGACTGTGTGTAATTCAAAATGGGTTTTAAACTTTATTCACTCATTGTCTCTAGAAAAGAACAGAAAGTACACTGCTGTAAAAGTTACATACAATTCAAATTTGGGAATGGTGTCATTTTATATTCTAACCAAAATGTTAGATTCCCAGAAAGAATCAACTCTGTTTTATTAAGACAGAAGTCATCGGCTGTGAAATTGTCCTTGAAACGAGCAAAAACTATTTTGAATTTAAACAATGATAATGTCATTATGTTTCAACAAAAAAATTGATATTCATTTCACATCAACTGGACAAAACAACATAAATATTAAAGACTAGCAGTGGAACCCGGCGTTGCCCGGGGATGTAACAATAAGAGATAGATCAAGTATCCACCATCATATAGACTGAAAAATAAAATTGACAAAGATTATTGTTTAAGGTTGACGGACACGCATGTCTTAATTAGTTTTTTTTTTTGTTTTTTTTACAATTAGTCAAACTCAAACAAAAACATTGTTTTGAATCGTTATGAGTCTATTGATTGAATAGAATTTTATTATAAACAATTGTCTTGTAAATGGAATTTTTAAAGCATTCTGAATGTAAAAATAAAGAAAAAAGTGTGCAAGACAATAAGAAACACTACCTGCCAAAAAAAAAAAAAATAGTGAAGTTTTGTTGAAATCGGTTGAAAAATGTAGGAAATCCGATCCCATATATAAATGAACACACACAAACAACCTGGGTTTTATAATAAGTATAACTCAATATGAGTTGTCCCCCTTTCATTCTGGCGACAGAATTGTGTTTTATCGTGTTTTCAAATTGATTTCATACAAAAACAATTGTGTTTTTCCAATTTTGGGCACTGTCAGAACCACCGCAAGGTAATTTTACACAGTCCTGTGAAGTTTTGTTGAAATCAGTTGAAAAATGTAGGAAATCCAATCCAATATATAAACGTACAGACACACACACACACACAATCTGCGTTTTATAATAAGTAAGATTAGTACTAAAGATGATTTTTTTTTATTGGAAGCATAGTGAAGAGATCCTGATTATTGATAGCAAATTGTCTTTTGGTCAGAAAAAGGATAGTTTTAAAACTGCATAAACAGTTTAGAAATGCATTCCAGATACTGAGTCACTTGGAAGAAAGGTTTGCACAGATTGTGTTGTGTGTCATAAATTTAGAAAGCTAAAAGCTAAGCCCATCATTGGCTTTTCTCTTGCAAGTGATTTTAACAAAGTTGTGGCAATGGATTTGCATGAATTGTCATGTAATCTTTATTATTTGCACATCATAGATGTGTTCAGCAGACTGAGTGCAGATGTTATCCTACAAAAAAAAAGGACCCTCAAAACCATTTTAGACAGATTTATGCAAATATGGGTTGGAGGATATGGAGTTGGTGTTTAATCTGACTAAGCAACAACAACAACAACAATCTGAAAGTTTTACCCCCATATCAATTATAAAAATATTGACTTTCATTATAGAATCTGGCATAATGTATAACGTGTTAAAATTGTATCTTCATTTTTTACTGAGTTCATAACATGATTGTTCTTTGTCTTTTTAGGTATTTCGACTAAAGATGTTGTACGCAGATCTGCAGAAATGTATAAGAACCTCTCGGACGGTGATAGAAAGGTGAGAATGTTTTTGTCTGAAAGAAATTCTTCTGCTGGGTCTTTCCAGAATTATAAAAATGTTTAAAAGTTCAGCCATAACTGATGAAAATGCTATTCACACTAGTCCATTTATTTGCATACATAAGAAAAAATTTATTTTCTTTGATTTGTAAATTTATTTTCAAAAAGTGAAAAAATATATTCTAAAAATAACCAAAAAATAAAAAAAAAATATTCCTTTTTTGTTTTATTTTTAAAAAAAAAAATGGTACATTTGATTTTTCAACATCTTCGTGATTTTTAAGTCATCCTGAATCATGTGAATAAATTTTGACAAGTCTTATATGTTTTGATGACTGGATACTGACGATGTTGTCTATAGGAGTAACAGCTTGCAACTGCTACTGTCCAGTATGGCAGGTTGATTTTTCTTTTTTTTTTTTTTTAAATCAACATTGCACTCTGTATGAAAGCTGGGATTTGATGTGATAAATACTGATGCCAAAAATTCGAGCCTTAGCTTTCACCAATTTTTGAGCATTTAGCTTTAAAGACTGTCTGACAAAATGTAGAGAAATACCTAATTTCCACAGATATTTGCTTACAAACTGACTTCAAAATTTTACTATTTCAAGAATAAATCAAAATAGAGTTTCATATTTTTTGTATTATATACAGTTAATGAAAATATATTCAAACCAGAATTTTAATCATGAATCACCACAAGAAAAATATAGTTTGTTTTTCTTACTCTATTCAATAACTAAAAACTGTAAAAAAATTTATAAAAGATTACAAATAAGGCTACTCAATGGAAAAAATTTGTTAGATCATTCGTTAGATCCTAATTAATAAAAGCAAAAAATAGATAAAAATGTATATAACACCATAATACTGCTGGGCACAAATTATAAGACAAAATGTTTTAAATTTGCATTGTTTATTGAAAATCACACTAAAACCACTGCACTGTATAACATATTACATCATAATATAGCTAAATTGTTCAGTATAATTTTCTTTTGAAGTAAATGAAAGTCTTATTTGATGGCACAATGATTTAGTAATAATCTTTTTGTGCCATGCATCTTGTTCATATACAATTTGTAAAGCTTCAGTAAATTATAACTTTTATAAGGCTTTCACTGATCACCAGATTGAAATTCCAATGCTATGATTTTGAACCTAAATTAAATCTTTAAACTTGTTTCCTCAAAAAATAACTATTTAAAAAAATATTTTTTGTCATTATTATGTGAAACCCCAACTTTCAAATTGAGTGGAATACCACAGTTCCAAAATTGACCTGCCTTAATGTCCAAGCATTCTTTTCTCTGTCCACCATTGTGGCCTACCAGTTATGAAGCATTTTGTCATGATGTTTAGCAACCGAATAGAGTTTACAGAGAATAATCTCAATACATCATCTATGAACTTCTGACAATATTAGGAAGGTCATAGTGAACTTGCTGAAAGTTTGGGATTAAAAAAAAAATCAACTAAGATGAGGATCATAGTCTGAATAATTTGTGGAATTATCCAAGCATTTTCTATTTGGTACATTGTTACTTTTTCTAATTGATTGTGATTTGAATTCAAAGTTCCTTATATTGTAAGTTTATATTTTTAGTTACCTAATTTAGTGATAATTGTTTTTTTTATAGAAATTATAGTTGACTTGTGACAGTCATGTTGATATACTTAGTGAAATATAATGTCTCTTGCTAAAGTCCTTGAAAATATATTTATAGCAATGAAAGCATTCATTTAGCTCATCAAACTGAGAGATATGTTGATACATGGGAGCCACATAGTGGGTTGTGTCTATTACGAAACTGATCTATTTGTTGCATGTCTCAACTTTGCCATTTTACTGGAGATCAATCTATGGATTGTCATTCAGGGAACTTTAGAACAGTGGCCTTAACTGCTGCTCTAAATATGGGAGTTTCAATCTTTTTCGGAAAATTGTTGGTACCTCTGATGCCAGGAGGAATATCATTATTCCACCTCCTTGTCAATAAACGATTAGTCTTGATCTTGGTATTATTAGCCCAACTCACCTGCCAACAAATAATTACCATTGATCTTGATATCATTAACCCAACTCCTTGCCAACAGATAATTAGCATCGACTAGATATCATTAACTCACCTTGCCATTAAACACTTAACATTGATCCAAACATGAACAACCATTGGCATTAAATTCTTGTTTTTGCTTTTCAGGTTCTTCAAGATCGAGCCGGGGAAAGAATGCAACAATATAAGCAACAGTATAAAGCCTTCAAGAATGCCCTAACACCAGAACAGTTGACTGCAATGAAGGAAAATCGCATTAAAAAAAGAGAAATCAGGACAAAAAGAAAGAAAAAAGAGGTGAATTTTTTCTTTTATCCTTTTTTGGTAATTTAAATTAGAAAATACAGTTTGACCATCACTTATTTGGTATCATTGGGATTGGTAGGGGTTGCTGGATGAATAATTTTGTCAGATTACTAATGGCTGCATTAAAATACACCAAACCCAACAGCTACTTTTCAAGATACCCTGTAAATCATTTTATGTTGTTTAATAAAAGAAAAAGATAAATGAAAATCAGTTTCTACCTGTTATGAATCCTGTATAGTGTTTGCACTTTGTACCATGGGAAATGCTTCCTGTATTCATTTCGGATAAACATCAGCAGGTTAAAAAGAAAATGCAAAAAAGACAAGTAGAAATGATTTACCATCGTTTGAAAGTGCCACAAAACAGCTGACACTGCAGTTAGTACAACTAAAACATAGTGACAGGTCTATGCAATGACACAAGAAATGTGAAATTGCTCTCAGGGAAATTTGTTCCGGATTTCTTATTTAATCAAATTGGTGATCGGTAATCTGACTTATCATAATTGCTTTTATAATCATAAGTTATTGGGTACAATTTAAGTCTAATAGGAAGAATTGAAAAAAAAAATCCTGACAAGTCATTACCCCAATTCATTTGTAAGCAGCTGTATTGAAATTTGACACAAGTCTACGACTGACATCCGTATGGCTTAGACAAGGGTTCAAATTATTCCTATGTAACAATATGATTTAAAAAAAAAAAAAAGATGTGACCTTATGCTCCACAAGGAGTCTTTAAGGCAAGGATCGGCAACCTGTGGGCCGGATCAGGTCCTTGAAGGCATTTTGACCGGCCCGCGAGCCTGATTACCAATGACTCTATTTTTAACAGGAGAGACGAGGCTTTCGAATTAGACTATCTGCCAGTTATCGTTCATGAGACTTATTTCACCAAGTTGTATTGCCTACGTTTAATGTCAAATAATGGATACATATTTGTTATGACCCTTGGCTACATTAAAAGATAACAGAAGCGAAAGGAATGATAAAGTGAAAGAGGCCAGGGAGGGACTGACATGCGAGGTAGCAGAAATCTAAAGACAGTTAAACATACGCGCATTATACATACATGACTCATGAATGTGTGGATGATACCGCATGTGTACATACATAAGTGTATATGTTTGCAACTATTTGTACTCGTATGTATGGGTAATATGTGCTTCGTTTTTGTGTGTGTGTGTGTGGTTTGTTTGTGGAACAATTTTCAATAACAGTTTCAAACTTACATGTCATAATTTCATCCATTTCACTTCAGTTGATTTTTTTCACTTTGAAGTATTTTGACGTTTCTTGAGGAATTTTTGTTAGGTGTTTTTTAATTTTAGATTTTCTTTTGTTTTTCTGATTTCTCAATGTTTATTTTCATTATGGTTTTAAATATTTAGGTTGACAGGGATCTGCAAATGTATTTTTCCTTAATTTTTCATTAATGGCATTCGTCCAGCACGCGACCCGTCATTATAACACGATCCGGCTCGTGGGGTCGAATGAGTTGCCGACCCCTACTTTAATGAATAATCTATATCTGAGTTTTGGTCATCTGAAGAGGGTTCTGTTAGAACTGCCCCCTAAGTTTCAAGTGATTGTCCTGTCTTGCACATTTCGCAGTCAAACATATAGTTTCCCTATATAGTACATTTGAGCTTACAGCCACATCCTGTTGAAACACCAGTTCTTATCTGATCACTGAAGTTAAGCAACATTGAACTTGGTCAGTAGCTAGATGGGGGACTGCTTTTGAATACCATGTGCTGTAGGCTTGGATAAACATGTGGTGTAATGGATAAAGGCTCAGAATGAGAAATAGAAGAGCCAAGATCAAATTCCAGTTGGGTTTCTTATATTCACTTTGTGCAAATACCCTTGGGAAAGGTATGAATCTACCTCTTCTCTTCCCAACTATGGGTTAAATAGTAAGATTTGTATCAGAAACTCTTTATATTTTCAAAAAATTCTTACAGCCCCAAAATGTTTCAGCTTTAAATTAGCTCAGAAAGCTGTAAAAAAACAAATCAATCAATCTTATATAATACATTTGGCAGTGAAAAAATAAGTTACAAAGTGTATAGGAAATCAAATAAATACTGTACCATTGCAAATTTTTTAGGTGGTTTGATGGCATTACAGTCCTGTCTTTAGAGACATCAATGACAAATGTTTACTTTTTGCTTGTTTTTATTTTAATTTTTTTTAAGCTTGATAAGCATTTATGTTGATTTGGGTTTTTTTTGGTTTTTTTGTATGAAAATTTTCAACTTGTATTGTTCACTTTAGGTTGAACGTAAATATGGCCGTCCTAAGCGTCCAATGAATGCCTATGCCATCTTCACTCGGGCATATAAGGTGGAACGAGGGAATATGCCTTTTGTGGTGAGTCACAAGCAATTCCACTTTGAAATTTATTTTTCTTTATAGGTATAATGCTGTACGTAATTTTGGCTTGAGATTCTTGACATAATTTTTTCAAATTATTCTATTCATTTTTATTTTTGTGTTGCTTTTGTTGTTAGCATATCAGTTGATCCATTCTGCTGTCCATAAAGATAGATAAAAAATCTTTTTGATGAATAATGAATTTTTACAAGATTTTTATTTTCTTTTACATTTTAATTAGAATAACTTGAGTTTCAAATATTTTTTTAATCTTTTAAAATCTTAATTTTTCCCTTTTAGATGATATTATTAAGTGAAAACTAAATTTACTAATCATACATTGAAAAGCTTAGTACAAATCATTGCACACCAATATTTTTAAAAGAATTTTGATTTTTTTTTATATATGTATAAATGTGCCGATTTTCTATGTACAGTTGATCATACACAATATTATCAGAAAATAAGAGCAATAATTATAGTAAATTTACAGTAAAAAAAATATTTAAAATTTAATAAAATATTAGATTACAGAGATTATTTTCTGAAATTTTTAAGATTACTGAGTATATAAAAATTATATATAAAAGGTGCTCATTTTAATTCAATTACATTTTTTTAATGCCTATGATGTAATGGAATAACCTGTCACCCCCATGAGTGACTACACTATAGGTAGTAACTACCTATAAGTATCTGTAAGTCAATGGACTACAGAGGCTAGCTGGGATCTGTTGAGTACGACTTACATGAGAACTACCGACCTTCCAATAGTAGCATTCCCTACTGATTGATTTGCGACGACCCTGTGCATAACTGTTACCTTTATTCTTATTGTACTGGTTTTTTACAATATACCTTTACTTATTTTATTCATTTTGCTTTTCAAGTATATATTCCTATTAGCACAGAATATAACAACCTAAAGGCTCCCATAGAACAACATTAGATTGACTTAGTTTCATTAAAATCTGACAATTATTTGATTTTTGCAAGATTTTAAAAATTGTGATTTTTACTGTAAAAAGGCAATAAAATTTCTTATACTAATCTTTGCTGTCCCCACTGATGCAAGAAAAACAAGATTTTTAACCAAAATTTTGAACATCCTGGAAAGGATTAAAATTTTAGTAAAATAATCAAAAAATATTTTGATCTTTCTTAATAAAAACACAAATATTTTGATGTTGAACTTTGTTTTTTATCAAGTTTGGGGCCTATTTTATTAGGCCATGCTCTTTTTTCAGTGAATTATTGAAAATAAATATGTATTCAAAGCAAATAGTTTTGCAAGCTGACAAGAATAGTGTAATAGTTTTAAGTTGTTCTGATTGGCTTATTCCCAGCACATACTTACAGAAAGAAGAAAGGCAACTAATATATCCAACCAATGCCAAACTGCAGACATGATAAAACTTATTTTGACTGAATGTACAGCTCTTGCTCCCTCAATGAAAAAATATTTCAATATAAATCACAGAAAAGAAGCTCTTTGAAAGATCATGGTTGGATGCCATCCTGGGTAAGATGATAAACTACATCTGACAGCAAGGCCTCTGATCTGATTTTGAGGAGCGTGGAACCACCTCTTAATTGCTGGTGTTCCCAGATCCACCCTGTCCTGGTATGGTAGCACTTGTTAGGGTCCCAACTATGGGCAAGTAGTTAACCCCTAAACTGGGGTCAAAACATCATGAAAGTGTAAAAATAGGTTTTAATACCAGAAATACTTGTAAAAAAATTATTACCAGAAATACATTATTTCCAGCAATACATTTAAAAAAAAAAAAATAATTACCAGCAATACATTTTTGAAAAAAAAAAAATATTACTGGCTATACATTTTTTGAAGAAAATATTACCAGCAATAGATTTTTGAAGAAAAAAATATTACCAGGAATAAAAAATTTTGTCAGCATTAAGGTTGATATGCTGTAAACCAAACCTAATGAAACCAAGGATGGATGATATGATATCTTTTCTCTAAACAGTGGGTTTATACCAAAAAATATAAACTTAACAATTAGAAATACTAGTATGTAAACCAGTCATGGAGGTAAACTGCGGCCTGTGGGCCATGTGCCTTCCTGAATGGCATGCTTTGTTTCATGAGGAGAATAACATTTATTAAAATTTTGTTAGTTTCCTTTCATTTTTACTTGTTCACGCACACATTCTCTCATACCTAAACACGTACATAAACAATAATTAAGTAAAATGTTTCTTGAATTTTGTAAACTTTTGTTGATGATAACTTTTTCTTCATTTTAAACTTCTGGTGATTTTCACTAAGGAAGATCATACGTTTAAACTTCATTTTCTGCAGAAACAGGAAACGTTCATAATATTTTTTCCCTGAGAAGAAAAAAGTTTTGTATACTCAAATGAATAAATTGGAAACATGGAATCACATGCAGTGATGCATGTTCTTCACACTTGTCATCAGGGATAATATTATACTAAGATTTCAGTTTTTATTATATAAAGGAAAAAAAATCAAATTTTCTCCATTTCTAAGGTAGATGCTTACGTGCAGGATTTTCTTTAGTGATATTGACTGCAGTAGAGACAATAAAAAAACCAGCTTGAATTTTTAGTAGTGCAACCCAGGTTAAGATTAACTATATTTTATGAGGCCCACTGGTCAGAAACGGCCACCCATGCCTAATCTAAACCAACCAAAGTAGATGATGCCATATGATTGGGGGTGAAAATTTGGATTCAATTTAAATTTTATTCAATTTAAGATTGTCTCGGCTTTAAATGATCTGTGATGGGTTGATAAGCTGTAAAATGAAACATCCAACCAATCATTCCCAGCAATATGAGCCACACTCACAATATGACTCTGCACACTCAGTTATTGAATATAATTTTAAATCTTGTTGGATGGTTTCATAATTTTTTGAGTGATGAAATATTCACAGCCCAACCAAAACACCTTTTAAAACAATGTTTGATCATTTGGCCCAGTTAACAAAAAAAGAAAATCTTTAATTTGCAAATGTTGACATAGTTTCATCTGGTTAACAAAATATATTTTTTGAAAATGTCCTTTACTTTTTTATTTTTTATTTTTTTAATGAATTGATTTCACATTCTATTTCCAGGAATTTTCTAAAAAACTTTCCAGTATGTGGAAAAATATGCCCGAAGATGAAAAAGCGGTAAGTAATATTTTTTTTCTTATCTCTACAAGGTCTAGCCAGACATAATCTATCCATTTAATATTAACAAAAAAAATAGTACCTTACCTAGGGCAACAGATCCTTAGTCCTCTTCAAAGTATCTCACTTGGCACTTTATATGCTTATCCCAGTCTAGCTTCCACTTTACAAATCAGTTTGCAAAGTCCTCTTTCTGTCTGAATTTCTAGGATGAGGAGTTATCATGATTGACATTTAGACTAATATCCTCATCTTTGCAATTACTATCACAACAATCTAGCTGTTTTGCTTGTCAGCCTTTTTTCATTGTCCAGGGAATTTCAAACTGAAATCTTTATTATAAAGAGATCAGTTCTAAATTCTCTGAATGTTACTGAACCAACAACTTAAGATTTTTAATTCAACCTCAATTGACATCATAGTTAACAACTCCATGCCACATTTAATTGTGAACTTTATAATCTTTCTAATGGTTGTATAGCAGGCATCTTGTCAGGTTTATATACCGGTTTTAAATTCAGAGTTCTTCTTCTCCAAGACTGGTTGCCAAGCAAGAGTAAAAGGCCCGTTTGCCCTGCTATATAACCCAGAGCCAGAACGACAAACAGATAGATTTCTACCTTTCCCAAGGGCAATAGTGAATGTAACAGCTGCACAATTTCTTTTTCTGAGCTACCTACACATGTCCATATAATCTGATAGGAATGCAGATGTGACGTTAATGTAATGATTAACAGCTCGAAGCAAAAAATCAGTGAGCTGAGTTCAAATTCTAGTCAAGTTCATAACATTCACTTTCATGCAAATACTTTTTGGAAAGGTATTAATACATCTCCCCCCTGCAGCTATGGGTTAAATAGTAGAGCAAATTGAACTCTTCAGCCTTGGTTGGAAACTGATCTATGAGAAGGGCAATTGGCTGAATTCAAAATTGGTTGATGATGGGGCTAGCAGCTTCATTCCATAAAAACCTAATTGCTATGAAAACTACAGCAGTGCCACTTAACATTGTGCAACTTTGGTCTTCTACTCTTTGGTGGAGTCTTTGAGATTTGTCTCTGAGTGAGTATCAGCCAATATGAATTCCCAAACTAGGCTTGAAGATTGTCAAATATTCTACAAAAAACATTTTAACACATATCTCTCTTTTAAATTGTAGATTTATATTGAAGAAGCTCGACTGGAAAGGGAAAGGTATGCTGAAGAAATTATTGACTGGGAAGAACTGATGCTTGAACGAGGTAAACCAGAAGTCATCCGAGGTTATCGAAGACTCCATAAACCTGGAAAGATAAAGGCAAAACCAAAGCCCAAGACCAAAGCCAGAGCCAGGACCAGAGCGAAGAGTGTAAAAAGGAAACGAATTACAAAGAAAAATAAAGCCACTCAAACATGAACACATTTTCTATAAGCAGGAAGATTGCCGCTATTGGCTTGAAAGTGAAGTTATAGCTGGAATAAATTAGATTTAATAATATATATTGCTTTCGCTTTTACTTTATTTTTTCTAATCTCAAATGGTTAAACATTTAAAGTTAAAATCATTAATCCGTCTTAATCTCATTTTTAAGCTCTTTATTTGTTTTCATTAGCTGTTAATGTAACTTGTGACATAAGTAAACTTCATTGAACAATTTCAGTCTAAATTTCTGAAATGGAGTTATCATCATTATTTACATAAGATATATATATATAAAACCACTAGGATGCAAGAGGTTATTGAGTGTTAAAGAATATGAGAAAAGCTACTATTAAGGAGAGAGGACAATAATAAAATAATTAAAATGTCAGGGAATGATTGATTCAGACTAATGTCCTTATTTTTATTGCTACTCTCACATTGTTTCAGCCATTGTGCTCTCCGGCCTTCTTCAGGAGTCTGTCAATCCAGGTAACCTTCAGTTTTTACCTGTCTATATTTCAGAGATGATATACACTATTTACATTATTTGGACTATTGTCCTCATCTTTGTTGCCATTTTTATTACAATGTTTTGGTCATTGTACGCTTCGGCCTTCTTCAGGTGGTTGGAATGTCGAACTGAACCCTTTGTTTCACTCACTGGGGTAAACTGTTCTAGTCTTTGAGGACACATAGCACAGTGGATAAAGGCATTGGTTAGATCCGGTGACAGAACCCAAAGAGTGTGAGTTCAATACCCGGTTAAGGCAGTGGAGAACTTGAAGAGGGGGAATTAACAGGAGATAACTGACAACTGACTTCCATTAAACATGGCACGTGGAGCTAGAACAGTCTACTCCAGTGAGCGTAATAAAAATGGCGACAAAGATGAGGACAATAGTCCAAATAATGTAAATAGTGTTCAGTTTTAAATTTTTTTTCCCAGTATAATAAAAGACATCTTCCAAAAAGCTGGGTTTACGGACAGGTGATTCTTTCTAAGGAACGTACTGTTTAATAATATTCTTACACACTGCTGCATTTATTAGAGTTCATTCTACCAATTAATTTCTTCAAACATTGCATTCAAACCACAATAACATTTTAATCCCTTGTCGCCATTTTGATTCATATCAAAGAAATCTTAGATAATATAAAATGCATATAGACATTATTCACCCTACCTCCTAAACCATCAATTCTATGTGAACTTGTATCACAAATACTTTTTTCTTAACAATATGGCACACTTAGGCTGATGGTATAACTAATTTTGAGCAACTTTTCCAAACCTATATATGTCCAATATATTGATAACATGTTCATCTTAGTAAGAATCTACATGTTATTAGATATCCCAGCACTCAGCTTACAGCCGATGAAATTCTTAACTAAACACTAAGAAAGGCATATATTCAACTCGCCGTGTTATTTCATTCATTATCTTCATAAAAACATAAGGCATGCCAAATAAAAGCTTATTTCATGAACTCTGTCTCTATCTTATTTATTTTTATATGTACTACAGTGTGCAAGGAACATTACAGTTTGAAAATAGACATTTTGGTGATTTCGCAAAATTTTGGCTGTTTTTTTCACTGGCGGCAGTTTAAACTTCCTCAAATTTTATAACACTCCGCAGGGTTTATTACAATTTTGGTAACACATTAGTTTGGAAGTTAACATTCTAAGCTTCATTTTCATATATTTTTTAATTTTAATAAGAAGTTTATAAACAATTCAAATGAAAAGTTTGATCATAAAATTCAAATTCTTCTAAAAATAAAAACACATAAAATATATCATTAAAACGCTCATTTAATAATCTATGAAACTAAATCAAAATCAAATATGAAACAATAGCTCCATTTTGCGCGTGTGCGATTATGTGTGACCATGTGCGACTCGGTTTTCATTTCAACTCCACGCAACAGTCAATACACCAGCATGTTTTCTATGGATGAAATTTTTAAGGAAATTGGTAAGAATTTGTTTTAAATATTAATTTTCTGATATGTAAAATGTAAATGGGATTTAAAAACCATTTTCATCATAAAAAATATGAAACAAAAATCGATTTGTTTACTTTATGCTAGGTTCAAATCATGAAAAAAAAGTAGGACTTATTGATCGAAAAATGTTCATATTCCAAGAATGAGATAAAAAAAAAAACATTCTACAAAAAATTCTAGAATGTCTTTTATGTTATTGCAGTATTCTCACAATAATTATCAGCATTTCAGTTACCAAGTAACATTTTGTTTTGTTTAAAGTTTTCCCTTCAAACCATTTTCTTACTTTTTAAATTATCTAATGAATGGATTTTAGTTACGATTTATTGCTATCTAGATACAAATTTATGATTTAATATTCATTTTCCTAATTTATTATTATTTCTTAGTAATGTTTATTTCATACGGATTATGATTGTTTATTTTGTTCTAAAATATTTTAATGTGTCAGTTTTAAGGACCACTGTGGAAATAGGTTTGTTGAGAAAATATTTTAGTGCTTCCTTATTTGTTACTCAGGTTTATGGATAACTCTAAATTTATATTTATCTCTGATTGTATTTAGTGCAATTTTTTTATGAACTGCAAATAAACTCAAATTCAGTAAGAAAACATAGATGACTACTACAACAACATGGGATAGGATTATAAACTAAAAATTATAAATAGGATTATTATAAATAGGATAAATTAAAAATTATAAATAGGATTATGAATTATAAAAATTATAAAAGATAGTACTTTGACAACATGGGATAGGATTATAAATTCATTTTTTTCTTTTTGAAGATGATGATGTACAGAATCAGTTACAACATTGTTTTATGACAAAAGGACGTGGAAGGAAGATGTCCTTGTCTAAAGTGGGATGTTCCAAGAAGATGCTGCTTCAAATATATTTATTGATTACTTGGCTACATAAATTGTTCCCAATCTTTCCTAAGAACAGATGGGCACACCTTATTGAGAAAGTTGTAGCAGAAGTTCAGAGTTGTCCAAAAGTGGATCGTCCTGCATTGTAGCATGAGGTAACAAATTTGGGATTCATAAGTGAAAGATGTGAGAGTGTTGGATTGACTGTCAGTGTTTTGTCGGATCCAATACTGGGTCGTGAGTTTTTATGTGTGGAAGTAACAAATGGTCTCATACTTGAACTATATAAACTGGATACGCCAGCAAAGATATACTAGTCAGACTAGAAGAACTTGGGTAGTGCCTGAATTAGATTATTTGGAGAGATTGTATGAAGAGTATGCCAAGACTTACTTTTGACTACTCAGTGAAGAGGTATCCCAACACCCAGCCCACAATTACTGAAAATTTCCAAATAAACTTTATTTTATTAATTTTATGTCTGTGTTGTTTATTTTTATGTGCATAATGTGAGAGGAACATTACAGTTTAAAAATTGAGACAATTTGGTGATTTCATACTGCTTACGTAGTGATTGGAACTAACACGTGTCAGAACTTCAACCTTTCGATCAAATTGTGACAGATAAAATATTTTTATTTTAATGATTTCAGTTACAAATTTAGTGGTTGAATATCACTTCATGATATGGTGAGTTTTCTGTTGTCTTGTTATGTTCATTAGTGGGTATTGCTTGGCATGTATTAAGCTTCTCTCTCTCTCTACAGTCCAGAAATTGTACATGTTGAGTCGGGACTGTACTTGTTCAGCATCTGCTCCATATACATTCTAATCTGTTAATTTTAGGTCATTTTAACCATGATAAATGGAAAGAGTACCCCCAGAAATGGCTAGATATGAAATTTGGTGTTTCTAGTGTAAGAAGTATTCATTTTATGACACAATTCAAGCAAGTCTAAAATCGGCCTTTCAAATACCTTGTGACAAAAGGTTAAAAAGCAATTTTTTTTTTTCAATTTTGAAGTGGAATAATCCAGAATATATCCATTCTATCACTCCCCACCAAAATTAGGCATGTTTCTGGTATAATCATAATATTTGAAATTTGGGATGAATGTGGGTCTTATTTCCAGTTTTATGAAATGTCAAACCTCAGGTTATGAGTTGTTTGCACGTTGTTGCAGAAGTTTTGATTTATAAAATTTGCATATTCAGACTGAATTTATTTAAGAAATATTCAGTGATACTATCTGTAATTTTATTATTAATTTCTTTGTTATGTACCTTACAAGCTAGTATAATTTTAACTGTTGTTCTTAATTGCTTTTTAAAATATAGGAGTCCAAATATGGTATTTTGTCCTAATTCATAATAGACAAAAAATGGCTAAGTCGAGCACATGTGTAAAAATAAAAATAAATCTTCCAAAATCAGATAACATCTAGTACCTGTTTGAAATTTTCATCTGTGATGTCTAATGTTATGATAATATGGATGCCTGGAGATTGATGTGGAAAAGAGGCTTTGTAAAGCTGTACTCTAATATTTGAAGTTCTTCCACCAACATCAACATCCCAGTGTATGCATTTGTTGTCTAACAGCCCATGAAACTTGGAAGAAAACCAGTAAAATCTCCAAGCAAGTAGACATTTTGACTATAGTATTCATTTTAATTATATGTAGTAGACATTATGCCATCACCTGGCATTATCATGTTACGATTAAGAAAGTCTTTAAGCAGATTCATATAAACTGCAAAACATAATCACTGTAAGGCATTGGAATATGTACAGTCATGTCATATACTCTGAATGCCCAAAGAAAGAGCACCTCTGAAGTTGAAGCCAGAAAAGAAGCACAGAGGCAGATCTGTCAAAAGATGGTGGAAGATCATACAAGATCTCATTGAGATGAGCCTAACCTGGGTTCAAGATTGTGACTGAGCAAGAGACCAAACTGGAGGTGGTGGGGGGACCATCAATGGTCAATGTTTTCAATACAGTAGTGGAATAACTAAGACATAAAAACCTTGAAACTTTTCAGGAAAACTTATGTTTTACACTTTACTTATAAACTTAATAATAGAACCTATTTCTTCAATGTTTTGTAGGTTTGAAAAATCATCATTTTACTCCTTTACAATATATTAAAATAACGGACAAAAATTCTTGTCTGCTTAATTACCAAATTGAATGTCTTCACAGATATAAAATTAGCTGTTGTAAAGAACATGATCAACTGAGCTAAACTAATTTCTTTTCCACACACCGTCCTGGGTATGAAGATAAACTACATCTGCGTCCTGGGTATGACGATAAACTACATCTGCGTCCTGGGTAAGAT